TTCTGCTGGTCAGCTGTCCACGCTGGGCATGGGTCTGACCCTGCTGCTGGGCCTGGCTGTGCACAAATTTCAGCTGTAATTTGGCCATGCAGCAGCAGCAACAGCAGCTGCAGCCATAGAGCTACACCAAAGATTTTAACCAGAGAGCAATGACATACCAGACAATTTATACTCATTATTTGATGACAGGGTTCGAAGCTCTGTTTGAAATTCAAATAAAAACACAACATGAAATGCAACTAGTCAATTTATGTGACACTCAAAGCATGTGCCTTGAACACTAGCAATTTAAACTACGTTAATCTATTTAATAAAAGAACAGTTTTATAAGCACTTCATTTTTTCTTTGGTCAACGCTGCGTATACGCAACTTGAAAGAGTGCCGCTCGTTTAAAGTTCAAATATGCGGACCTTACAGAGCTTAAAATGGTGGTTTTTGGTTATATTAGTCGCAATATAAATACCCAATAATATATCTAAATATAGCCGGTGAGCCACGCGATTCGGCATATACATATACTATCTTTGCCACATTTATAATTATTGGTCATTCTGATTCTTTGAACGTCGCACGGGTTGGTCAATTTTATGGATTTAGTACAGCTAGCCATAATTACGTTCGAAAAAATATCACCTGCTTTGGTTAGTGTGTGACTAAATATAATACAGAAAATCACTGATAAGCATTAGACTGAACGTCAAGTGACCAACCAAACCCGATGATAACATTAATGGACAGTTATTAAAATTCTATATGTACTTTATAAGGTATATATACCAGCAATGCAGCTTGATTTGTTTATAATGTTGATTCCTTTTTGATTATGGTTCACTATTTGGCGAGGTTTTATTTATTGTTCCTTAGGTTTGCGAATTGCCTGATGAAATTTGATTTTATATGTTCATTGGCTTTAGAATAGGTTTGTTGCATTTATCAAGTGCACGTTATAATACAGTTCTCTCTTTAAGCTTTGCCTATAAATCCGTTTTGGTATGATTCTAATTTATTATGAATTTAAATAAATAAAAAATAAAAAACTAATGATCTGAGCTATACTCTGTACAAGATTAACTCACAGCTGATTGGAACAGGCCACGCGTTGGTCAAGCAATTACTTGAACTATAGATGGCGCCACATAAAACGAACGGCCTACAAGTATGCAACATTTTTATTTATTTTTTGAAGATATTTTTAAATTCTTGTTGCTGTTAGGGAACGCAAAATATCGGTTATGTATATGTTCATATATACATTTAAACATTTAAAACTATTGAAATGGCGTCAAACTGAACTCTATGATTATGGCTTTACCTTTACCTTATTTATTCGACATCTATATTTTTTCATATTAAATATCGCAATTTTGTTTATCTCTGCTTTGGAAAAATATAAAGTACTAATTTAAGCCTTTATTTTTTAACATGTAGAGCCTTCGTCTTAAAGCTTTATTTTAAATCTTTTGTAAGTATTTAAGCTGGTATTAAATGCAATCTTAAGAAAATGTCTAATAAAAAGTCCTCCACAATAAACATGTTGGCAATGTAAGTTTTATCTATTATCTAATAATATGATAAAATGTTTAAAAAAATAAAATAAAAAAAATAGTCTTCTTTCACTTTGTAAACGCGCAGCCTAAACTGTAAATTTTTATTATTATTTATTTTATTATTATTTTATTTCATCACAAATAAACCTTTTTAAAAAAATATGAATAATATTTAAGCCAACTTTCAGATATTTTTATAGATTTTAAAAATATGACGATTATAAATATTGACTTATTTACTTTTCTAGTTTTATTGAAACTGAATTATTTTTAATGGTGGGTAACAATTTGTTTATGTATTGCTTACTGCGACGATTAAGAATAAAGTAAGTTGTTCAACTAATTAATTTAAAACATTGTTTTGTTAAAGAAATAAAAACTTAAAACCATAAATAACAAGCGAAAAGAAAGCAAACGTATTTGACGTTTTTTGCTTTTAATTGGGCACGGCTTATTTTTAGCTGGGCCTAACTCTGATTAACTTGAATGATTTTAAATGCTTATGAATTAATCGAAAGATGCTTAAGTATGCATATATTTGGTATGTTTTTGGCTAATCCGGCATCTATGAAATCAATTCGAATTCATTCATTAATTTTTCGATGCCTCCTCTTAAGACAAGCCCAAATTTGACTCGTTCGGGCTTTAATGTTTCTGGTATACTTTTGAAGACATCGTTTTGGTTGGGGTCTTAGGCATTTTGTGTAATTTGTCAATGCAAAGTAAACACTATAATTAATCGGCCAACATTTTTAGGCCAATAATCAAATGTGCATTAGTCATTCAAGCACCTAATCAAATGTCTAACCCGGGACTCTAGTTGGACAAATTGCTATGCGTATGCGTATTATCCACATACGCGTATTACCACAGCAGATAAAGGCCAATGTCAAAATTTGAACAGTGTGAAACGTTAGCTAAACAATAAATTAATAAATTAAAATATAACAAAAAAAGAAAAAACTGTTTGTTACGAAAATTCAAATTTATGCCGCATCTACGTTCACTTTTTTTTTATCAACATTTTATTTTAGACTACATTTAGTTTAGATAAGCTGAACTTTTGATTTAGGATTTGCGAAATGTGTGTGTTTTACATTAAATGAATGCTAACCCTTCGGTTTCACATTACGAGCGGAAGTTGATCAGAGATCGTTTTTTAATAAAAGATATTTATACACAAACATATATTTTTGCATATTTATTATAAATGGAGTGTACGAAATTCCCTACGGCTTTCCCCACTTTGCTTTGGGTCATGCCTCATGGCAAACGGCGTGAGAAAGTGTGAAACCTGTTTTGATAGCTCCGTTTAGACATAGTTCGAGATCCGTGAAGGTTGAAGGTTGTTCGCCCCCAGATAATGTGTGTGCTCTCCATAAATTTGAACTGCATTTGATTCTTGCATAAGCTGACCCATTTAATGCTTGGTTTAGTACTGTGGAAACATTTGTTAAGAGTGCAGCGTGGGATATTTAAGTATTCTCTTTTATAATTGGATTACATTTTAATTTGTGGGCGCATAACATTTACCCTAACTGCATGGCATCTTAATGTTAACAGTCAAGCCAACTGACTTAGTTAATGCCAGTCTAGCTGCTATTTAAAATTTTGATGTGTTTGTTATGACAACTCATTTCCGTTGTCAGAGTTTAGCCCTAAACTAAATTCGATAATCAAATCGCATGAAAAGCAGAGCTTTCAAATTACAAAGTGATTTACCTTCACTTTTGTGTCGCATCTTAACTAACTAATGGCTGCGTTTTGATTTTATATATCTACACATATATTTACGGGCATTTGTATCAATTTGGCGCATTTAGAGTGAACAAAATAAATATATGTAAGTATATTTGTATAAATGTATAATGCATAATATTTACACTGAACGCACACAATAAATATCTAGACCTTGGCGCACTCTTGACAGCCCGCAAAATCGGGCAACTGCCTGTCTCCAGTTTATTCCCATTTCCATTTCCAAATCCATTTGCATTCGAATTTGCATTTTATAGTTCAGTTGGTTGTCAATAAAGTACAGTCACACAATGCAGCATAGCCAAAGCGATTGTAATCGATTGTAACCTCGTCTCTGACAATCGATATTTGCATAACAATCGGCTGAGACATTCAATTTGAGTGCAAAATTTTTAGAGAGCCCAAAGAATTGCGAAGTTTTTTTTTATTATATATTTAACACTTTTTCTTTTCATATGTTGATTAGCAATTTTATTTGTTTTTTTTTTTTTTTTGACATAATTAAATTTAATTAATAAAAGTTTGCAAGAATTTGCCTGATTGAGTGTGTGATAATGGGGCTAGTTTTTTAGTTTATTTAATTTTCGACACAGTTTTCTGTTAGAAATATAAAAAAATAAAGACAATATTACAAAAATAATTTTGCTATACTAAGAAGCAAATACAAGTTTGCATAAGGCTAAAATTGAAAAAAAAATGTGTGCTTAATTTCATATATAGTTCTTTTTTCTCAGTTGAACTAAATTTTCTTTTGAACTCTTTACAGCAATATAAAATTCAAAATACTTGGTGCGTTTAGGATTGAAAATACATAAAATATGAGTATTGTTGAGGGGATCATGAAAAAATTTTAATGATATATATCCCTATTCCTATCAATTTGACATTGTATAGCTTTTTTACATATTTTTACTTCTTTCATACCTTTTTTTCTCCATCTTTTCTAAGTTATGCACATTCTTTTCTAACTTATTTTTCATTCTAAAATAATTTAGTTACAGATGATTATTTAATTTTTATGCTAGACATTTTTTTTTCACTAATAATACCATTCTCCATAGCTGCCGACTCGAATAATGTCTCCGACAAATTTAGCTTTAGGGGCGAGATTGCTGGCATATAAAAAACCTCCATCCCGTCGATTATGATATAAGAAATACTTATTTGTATTCTTATTAGAGCTTTAGTTTTTAATTTTGATATTCTTATGTATTAAGTACATCGGTTAATTATTAATAAATAAATAAAATATAAAAAGATTAAATAGGGGAATTACAAACCTCTTGTGCGAATGATATGTTGATTTGTAAGTTTCAGGAAAGATATACGTTCTTGAATATAATAAACTAAGCACTTATTTAAAGATAAACGTTTTTTTTTCTCACTTTACTAATATTTCTTTTTTTTTTTTTAAATATATTACATTTGGCACACTCAGATTTCCTAAAAACTAAAACAATAATTATAATCAAATATTCGCATAACTTTTCGACCGAAACTTTTTTTAAAAAAAGTCTTTTTGTGTGAAGGCTTTTGTTTTGGTAGTAAAGCTGAAAGTTCTTTAATTTTTAAATTACAAGTAAATAATTGTCTTTAATATTTTATTATATTTATATAAAAATTGATTTATCATTATTATTCTATTTTTTAAATTGTTTAATTTAGGTTAAAATTTAGGCCTAAAAATGTAATTTTTCTTTTAACAAGACTTTTCCTATTTTAGTGTGCTTGAAAAAATCTAAAAATCTGAAACGCATATATCTTTAATAAAGTATCATTAGCATGCAATTCCGGCAATAAGACAGTTGCTGTTGGAACTTATCCGAAAAGTTTTTAAAGTTTACGCAGATAATATTAGTTTTGATTGAAAATTTGTATATGTAGCATTATTGCATTAACATAAACGAATGTTAATCTGGGCTAAGTTAAAGGGCAAAGCAGACAAACAGCTTTGCTTTGGCCATTGTCAAGTTGATTTGTTGGCCCCAAACAAAAGACTGTTTTGAGGTGTAACAAAAAAGCCCACTGCCACTTGCCACCCCAAAACAAAAGTGTTTCAGCGCCCCACATTAGTTGCCTCCCGTTCACACTGCATCGGTCCATCCCGCTCTGCCTTTATGCATATGCAATGCTGACTGTTGCAACCATATATTTTTTTTATTATTATTATTTGTATTGTGGTTGGGCAGCTGGTGTGGCTGCTGTTTCATTATTTGTTTCCGATTGAAAGAAAAACTTGCTGGCGACCACGCATTAGACTAACGCGCTTCGTGGCTCGTATAAAAGAGGTTGTCAGCGCTTGACCCATCATCACAACCACTTGACCCACAGAGCGAGCGAGAGACGCAGCGAGTCGCAACTAACTAAGTTCCAGCCTAAGCAACAGCATGAAGATATTTGTGGTGCGTTTTGTGGATTAAATTTAACGGATATTATAGGGACCTAAATGGGATATATACGCTCTCTTTATTTTTTAGACGATTCTCGTGGCCGCTTTGGCTTTGGCCCGTGCCGACATCAGCCTCACGCAGCAGGGCTACAACTACAGACAGCAGCAACAGCAGCAGCAGCAGCCGACTGTTGTGGCCCATTTGCTGAACCAGCAGTTGCAGCAGCAGCAACAGCAGCAGCAATCACAGTCATCCCATCCAGTGCTGCCACCGCTGGCCGTGCCATTGCCCTATCTGCCGCCCGCTGGCCAGTACCAGCCGCAGCAGCAGCGGCCCATTGCTGCCGCATTTCCCATGCCTGCCAATTTCCCAGTCAACTTCCAGACAGCTCCACTGACCCAGACGCGTCGGTCGCGTCCACGTGTTCGCATACCCAAGAAGCCCATTGTCACCAAAAACTTCTTCATACACACGGCGCCCGAGGAGTCGGACGATGAGATTCAGGATGAGCTGCAGCAGCTGAACCAGCAGCCGCGCAATCACTACAATGTGCTGTTTGTGAAGACGCCCGCTCAGACGAACCGCGCCGCTGCGCTCAATCTGGCCAAGACCCTGAAACAGGAGAAGACGGTGGTGTACGTGCTGGCCAAGAAGACAACGGCCGCTGATCTGCAGGATGCCATTGCCGAGGCGCCACAGCATATTAACAAGCCGGAGGTGTTCTTCATTAAATACCGCACGCCCGAGGAGGCGCTCAATGCCCAGCGCCAGATTCAGACCCAATACGATGCGCTGGGCGGCAGCTCCACCATTACCGACGAGGGTCTGGCGCCAATTACCTCGGTCGTGGGCTCTCTGGACGCACCCGAGGAGGAGGAAGAGGAGCAGCAGCAACAGCAACAGGCCATCGAGGGCAATGGCAACCTCAACGTCAATGCCCCAATTAACAATCAATATCTGCCCTCCAATCAGTTCTAAAGTATCTTCATTGCTCAACCGGAGCGAATCTTAGTTAGTTAGTCACATTCCCCCAGTTGAACTCGCATTTATCTGTTGTCTAAATAGTTGTAAATAAGTGAATTTATAGATGTGTAAGCCTATTTGAAACCAGTTTGTATTAAAGGTTCACAATTGTATTCAAATTATGCAGTTGTATTTCTTTTTACTTTGGCTATCTTATGTTTCAGCGTTTTTCACCTATGTTTCGCCTTTTAGAGTGATTTGGCATAAATCCATTAAATATCTATTGATTATTTTATCTTTCATCTTGAATAGTCTATCCAGTTTTGGTCTGTTTGTCCTGACTGATTAACTCAATAATTGACATTTTTGTTTACTATTCAATCGCTTTCAGAAATTTTGAAATATCTTTGTGAAGATGATTTTTCTGGATAGTCGGCCTCCAGGACTATGTGGCTAGGTATTAGACATTTTATCTAATCGATAAATTCCAATTGTAAATATAATACAAATAGCTCGAATAAATGAAGTCCCATATTGGATAGATAGGTCTAATTGAAAATCGAAAACCTAATCAACCTAATAGAGTTGATATAAGCATGTCCGACTGACCGTATTTTCACTAAACTCACCATTTGCGAGTTTTACTATTACAGTACGGAAACGGAATACAAAGTTATTAGATCTTCGGCTAGCCGAAGATATTCCTAATCTCTCGTTTTTTTGAAGATACGACTTTATTTAAGAGATATATATTGCAATTTTAAAAATGAACCGGTTCGATTCCAAACCGGTTTTACACCCAATAGCATTACATTCCGGCAATTTTAAAAATACGTTTGAAAGTATGCAGCAGTATATCCCGCAATTTGAGGACAATTAGAACAGCCACGGGTTTTACCGATTATGAAATCGTAGAAGTACGATATTTTGGATGCGACAAATGGATCGCAAATGTTGCAGCGGTAAAGGCAGATGGCACTTATGCTGGATATGCCAACCAGCTTATCATTATAGACCAATGGACTGCCAGTTTCATTAAGGCGATTGCCACTCATATTGTTAATTAGCGCGCACAGATATCCAACGTCTATATGTTTTTTGGGCGTAATTACAAATCTTTTGTGACATTCTCTATATGACATTGCTTTCAATTTAACGGAACGTAATTGGGTCTTATTTTCGTCTGGTATATTTAGCCACTGCCAGCCGGTAAGCCGCAATATGGCATCTTTTGGCGGCGTCTGCCAATCAAGTGTGATGGGCCGGACATGGGCCGTGTACTCGAACTTCGATCTGCTGCGTATCAAACTTATGTCGTTCACTCGCGTTATGGGATCGAAAAGGGCATGAATGACCACATAGTCGATGTGATGGATGTCTCCTTGGCGCGCATCCAACAGATCCTGAATGCCCGCAACTATCCGGGCTTTTGTCCAATCGAGCTCGTGCACGCATTGCGCGGAGCTAAGTACCCAATGTAGGGCAAAGATGGCACCGCTGCACAAATGTCCCTGCTCAGTGTGATTTATGGACACCTGATAGGGCGCCGTACCCGGCTCGGCTATCACATATTCATTGCTTTCATCTGCACGACCACGTAGACATTTAGCCAAGCATGAAAATGGCAGGCTCAACAATAAGAGTGGCCAAATTATTGAGCAGCTTCGATATTTATTCCGGCACTTTTGCATGTCGCAGATTAACTAAACTCCAAACAGAAAATAGGCGCATCTAGCGAATTATTCAAGGTGTACTAAATCGACATCCAAGACGAATGCATTTTTGCTTCGTGCTTTCATTGCGACAATTTCATATAAAGTTGTGATAATTGGTGCTGATTTTTTCGAGGGGTTTTTCAAGTTTGGAACTAGCGCTTGTGGTGACTGTGCCAACTAGGTGGGACAAGCTGGCTTTGCTCCTGAGTGTTGCAAATTCCATTAAAAATGATTTTCCTTCTCTTGGTTTTATAGCAAGGTCTGCATTACAGCGTCCCGTTGACTGCAAATGGGAGTCTTCAGAACCTTTCCCATCGTATTGAACTTCACTGAGCTTAAACGTCTTGTTGCAGGTAGTTGGCCAGCTATACTTTACTGGTCGTCCTGGAGCAAGGCTCCCGCCTTGTTGGCTCGATACGTTGGGCGAAGAAAATCATCTCACCAGGGTATCTTGTAGTCGAGCATACTCGACTTGAGTATTCGTACTTTTTAATGTGGATTTAAGCTGCTTAGAAAGCTTTGCTCTAATATTGAGGGCAGCTAACCCGATTTCACTCTAGCGAAGCGGCAGGGTTGAAAAGCGCTAAAGTCAATTCTCTCACAAATTCAGGTGATTGGTAAAACACGTTTGGAAAAACCAACATTTTTGATTTCAAGTTTTTAATTGGATAGTGTAGACTAAGTAGCTTTTTATACCCTAGCATAGGGCTTTAAAATGATGTTCAACTGAGATTCTGTAAGTTAGCCTCATATGAAGTGACTGTCAACAACTTGCGCCCGTACTCCTTGATCAATTGCAATGGGATTTACTTCTCCAAACTGGCTGCTCCTCCCCTGCAGCAGCTGCCTCGGCCTCGTGCAGACTGAGATGGGTGCGTATGAAGTCATGATAGTAGGCAATGCTGGCACTGGCATCGGGCTTGCCTTTGGCACAGGGCATGCCCCAATTGACGAGCGCCACTAGTTTGCCATTGTGCACCAGGGGGCCGCCGGAGTCGCCGTGGCATGCGCCACGCCCCTTGTCATTATAGGTGCAGACATGGCCAATATCCACGTGGCTGCTATTGCCGTGCGCCTCGCGGCATTGCTCGAAGGGCACATATTCCACCTCCAGACGTTGCAGCTTGGCGGGCGCCTCGCCGCCCAGCGACAACGTGCCCCAGCCGGTTAGCAGCAGCCAGTCACCCGGCACCAGCGGCTCATGGCTCAGCTCTACGGGCTGGGTGGCATTGTCGAAGGCAATCGATTCGTTCAGGTGCAGGAGCGCAATATCATTCCGGTATTTGCGCGGCTCATAGGCACAGTGCTCGATGATTCTGTCCGGATAATAGTATTTGGACACATTCTGCTGCAGATCCTGTGTGCCGGTGAGCACACGGAATGCATTGGGCGCCTTGCCATGTATGCAGTGCGCCGCGGTCAGTATCCAGTGCTCATCAATGATGGCGCCGCCACAGGAATGTTGGCCACTGTTGGCGCCCTGCAACGATATTTGATAGGGCGCCATGCCCTCGGGTGCATCCTCGCCGCCCACAATGCGCTGGCCGGTGTATTGGGGTGGATAAAGCAGCTCCTCCTGCTGCACGGCGCGAGCGACAAGGAGCGACATGGACAGCAACAGCAGCAATAGCATATTGTATGTGGACTGGATATGGCATGCCACGAAGTGTTACTTTTATGGCTTCTTGGAGTGCCCGCTTGGTATGCGCGTCACGTAAGCTCTAGATTTGCCAGGGGTTGTCTGTATATACATATAAATAAGGTCTCTGTAGATAAGGTGGGTGTTCACGCTGGGAACACGCGTTTAAATGGAATACACAAGCAGTCCATGATAGATAGCCTAACTTAGATTGCTTACCCTTGAATGTTTCTTGAAATAGGATTATATATAATCTATAGATTGTGGTTTAAAGAGCCAACCTCGTTAGTTGGTTTTGTTTTCCAAGACCGAGTCACATTTTTACTGCAAGGGTTCCGGGTTCGATTGTTTTTAGCTCTAATTTTTGTAATCATATCTAAAAACCGAAGGAAAATTGTGAGTGTTTCGGCTTACGGTTTGAACCAACGTCTTGGTTCGAAGTGAGACTCCACATTTAAAATGTTTTTAGGCAGGATTAAATGTAAAAATAAAATCTACATTGTTTTCAACGAAATCCTTTATTATAAATAGTTCAAAATTATTATTTAAATTTAAAATTAAACTCTTTTTATTTTAAGTTCAGCTAGGGTTTGATTTGAAAGTTTTTAATATTTTAGATAAATTTCATGAGAAGGGTGGTATTTTAAGGTTAGCATCAGAGTTCTAAAATATAAGCAAAACCTCGTTTTAATGTTAATAAAAATAGCTACATAATTAAATAATATTTAAATAAATTTCAATCTTCATTTTTGCGGGTTTGGCTACGTTGGGCTTTGAAGCTTGTAATACCTTAGCCAAATTTCATAAACATTGTGGCATTTATAGTTTGGTTGGGAGTTCTTGACCATAACCCATCCGCAATAACTTTATAAACTTCGTAATAGTAGTAAAATTTCAATAAATTTTAAAATTTATTCATTTAAAATTTCGATTGCATGTCTAAAGTTTGAAAGTTGTAATACCTTAGCCAAAGACCATGATTATTTATAGGTTAGGTAAAATGTTTTTAAACTTAGCGAAACTATAATTATTTGTTGTTTATAATAATAAGTTATAGGAATTGATTAGAACTAATTCAGTTTTGTTTTATTGTTGTTTATTAGTAGCTAGCTCCCAGTTGTGTGTTAGATAATAAGTATGATACTTAGTATGCTTATCAGCCGATAATTACCCAACGGCTGCTCGCTTTTGGTAGCCGACTTAGCTAATAATAGACAATTATTTGAGTCATTTGACAATTAGCCATGCGCTTCGATATAATTTTTATGACTAAGAGTTCAGTTTGGGTAAGGGGTACTTCGGCAAAAAGGATCTTGGACTGATCGTTGTCCAAAACAAGTTAATAAAGTGATAAATAAACGACAGTTAACTTTATAGGTTGATAATTTGTTCATAAATATTTTATTCTTTTGTGATAAATGTGCTTATGATAAAATGTACAATATTTGGACTTAAGGTCTAAAGTCTTTAAAGCTGTCTAAGTATATATGTTTGTATACATAATTTTTGTTCGGTTTGGCTTTTATTCGCCTTACTTTTGTTCCTTCTGCGCTTTGTGCCTACCAGCTCCTAACAGGCCTTGCCCTGCTCAGTCATCATCTCGCTGATCCAGTTGCGATAATATAGCACCGAGGCATAGACATCTGGATAGCCCAGGGCGCAGGCCTCACCCCAATTGACAACGCCGACAAGCGTTTGATTCGCATCGATCAGCGGGCCGCCTGAATCGCCATGGCAGGAGCCTTCGCCCTCCTTGGTGAAGCTGCAGATGTGTCCGTCGCCCACCCAGGTGGCATTGCGCACCTTCGACTTGCAGTTCGAGCGCTCCACATAGGCCAGATCAATCTTTTGCAGCTGGGTAACATATCGGCCCCAGGCTTTGGTGCTGCCCCAGCCGGATAGTGTGACTTTATCGCCTGCTTTCAAACTGTCCACGCTCGCCAATTTGATGGGCTGTGTGCGCTCATTATAGACAATGGGCGTGGCCGTGTGTATAAGCGCAATATCATTGTGATAGATAGGTTGATCATGCTGGCAGTGCTTCTTGGTCGCATCCACCAGATACTCTGCACCCGGTTTTGTATAATCATTGGTGCCGGTGACAATCTTAAGGTACTGTATGGGCCACTCCAGGCAATGGGCAGCTGTCAGAATCCATTGCTCGGCTATGATGCTGCCTCCACAGACATGTTCGCCAAATGTGCTCATTATGGATACCTGATAGGGCGCCCAGCCCTCGGGTGCATCGGTGCCACCCACAATACGTGACTCGGGACGCACCACATCCAAATCCAGCTGGCGGCTCAACTTTCGACCTGATCCCAGTTCGCGTGCCTCGCACTGGGCAACGATCAAGAGCGCGACGTTAAGTAAAATCAGCAGCTTCATTTTATATATTGTTTGCTTTTCGACTTTCGATTTCGAATTGTGGACATTTTGTGGTCATGTTTTCCTTTTATAGTCGGCTACCTGTTACGCCTTATCTGTTCGCAGCTTTCTTTGAATACGCGAATCGTTGAGATAAGAACTGAACGCGATTCTGGGGAAGTTCCGATAGTGACATTACCATAGCCAATACACTGATAAGCCAGAATTCGCGTTAAGCCGAAGAAGTACCGCCACTCGTCAACGACCAAACGAATGACAACAATCAAACGTTAGCTATGACAACAAATTACTCATACGCCCCGTGGCCGCACTTTGATCGCGATCTGCCAGACACACGATAATGTCGTAATCTGTGGCTAGCTCCCAGCGGAACTGCCAATTAAATATTAGACAACAAAAGCCATAAATAATAATAATTTCAGTTTGGAATAATTCCAGAAAGATAGAGAACTCATTAGCAAATCAGTCGTGCACTGTAAGAAAAAATTGAAATCAAGGCTAAGTAGGTCGATGCACGGTCCAAGTTCCTGTTCGGTGTGGAAACTTTTTTCATTATTATTCAGTAAGCAATAAAAAAAGTATGGGTCGGATGGGGCTTATGTTGTGCTTTTGTAAGACAAAGTTTTTGGGTTGAGATTTGTGCACTTAGTTAAAAATAAATTGGGAGATCGAATTCGAAATAGCTTAAGTTTAAATATACTTACTCATTTTTCGTTTGATTTCGGATTTAAATTGAATTTCAGAAATTAACACCAAATGTCAACTAAAATTTAGCTAAAATTAGTAGTAGTAGGTTTAAATTAAACTAAAATGATGCTCTTGTCCTCAATACAATTCTCTCACTCTCTATCTCTCTCTCAGTCACACTCTAACTCGCTCACTTTCTCTTTGTTTCCCTTTCCCTCGCTGAAATACGTTCAGCGGGCAAGCGAGAAGTCCACGGTTCGCGTCCAGCGGGATACATTTTTTCAGCGCAGTCTAGTTGTTAATTAAATGCTTTCATTAATTATTTGTTTACTTTAATATCAATTAGCACTCCATTTAATTATATATACATACATATATATTTTTTTTTAGTTTAAGGTGTTTTACAAGCATGAATTCAAAAAACTGTTAAAACACCTAAATAGTTCGAAAAGTTGTAAGTCAACATTTGTCACAGTGTATTCAACAAAATGACAAGTCGATTTTTAAACGTATATTATTGAAGGGTTTGTATTTTGGCAATGCATAAATATTCGTGGGTACAAAGTATACCTTGTAGTTCATGCTGATTACCATCGTCCAGACGTCTGGCAAAGATTAGAGGCCAGAGCGACTATTTGGTTATGCCGCAGCCATTGATTGTGGACTGTATCCAGTCGTAGTAGAAGCTGACGCGCGCAAATACATCTGGAAAGCCTCGACCACAGGGCACGCCCCAGTTGCCAATGCCCACCAGGCGACCTTGACTGTCGACCAGCGGCCCGCCATGATCGCCATGACAGGCGCCGGCTCCCACCCGCCCCACTGCGCACAGATGTCCAATGTCCAGATCGCTGGTGTGGCCATAGGTTGAATTACAGTTGGCCGTTGGCACATAGGTCACCTCCAGCTCCCTTAGATCAAATTCATATTCACCGCTCTCCGATGTGCTGCCCCAGCCTGTCATCTTGAGCTTGTCCCCCGCCACCAGATCGTCGAGCGCGGCGATTGTTATGTTCTGCGTGACCTCATCGTAGGCCACCAGGGTTTGCATTTTGATCAGTGCAATATCATTATGATACAGCGGCTGATCGAACTTACAGTGCAGAATTATTTCCTCCACGTAGTACTCCCAGGCTGGACCCGCCCAGTCATTGGTGCTCATGACCACCTTGACATTGCTTTTGCGCATGCCCGCCAGGCAGCTGGCGGCGGTCAGGATGTACTGATCGTGTATAATGGCGCCCCCACACATGTGATTGCTGTAAGAAGTTGAAGAGAAGTAGATAAAGTAAGGTTAGGTTGGTTAAAGTGAGGTTAGGCTAGGTTAGGTAAGGTTAAGTTGAACCAGAACTTTTTAAATTACTGTATCCGTTTTAAATTTGAGCATTGAACAATTGATATACAACATCATATATTGATATATATATAAATATACATATATGCTTGATTTATTTTATGTATCTACACTTTTATTTTTTTTGTGTCTTTGTTACACATTTTTGATTTTCTTGTGTTTTCCATTTTTATGTAAATTTGTCATTTTTTTTCAATCTTGTTTTGCAATCTTGTTACAAAAATGTTTATGTTTTAAATTTAGGTTTTAAATTTTATTAAAATTATTCATTTTTCCTTCGTTTTCCGAACTATTTTTTTTAATATTCCGTTTTTTTCACACTTTCTTTGAACTTTTAATAATTTTGAAATATATTAAAGGAGGACTCTTAAAAATGTATAGATAATATTATAATATTATATTATATGGCTTTATATAGTTTATACACAAAATAATTTTATAATTTTTGTTATAATTATTTTTATATTTACATTTAATATTATTATTGTTATTAATATTATTCGTATTTGTATTCTTATTAATAATATTTTACTTAATTTGTTTATATTTTTTTTAAATATATTTATTGTATTTATTTTAGTTAATAATATTATTTAAAAAAAAACTCTCCTCCATATAGATGCATACACTACGTTGGGATTCGAGCCCGTAATTTGGAAAAATTGAATCACTAAAACCGCGAACTCCAGTATATTTTATATTATCGAGAAACTAAATAATGAATTTGATATGTACCCCAGCGAATTCTGTATGGACACCTGGTAGGGTGCTGAGCCCAAGGCAGCCAAGCCACCACCAACAATACGCGAATTGGAATTAAACTTGGACGCGGGCACCGACTGAAAGACGCGACGCTGGTGTGAGGCCTGCGAGGAGGACAACGACAGCAGCAGCAACGGCAGGAAGAGTAACGCTCCGATTTGGTAAGACATGTTGGCAGCTAAGTTAAAAGTGGACTGATCTGAAGGAAACGTCCATGGCAAGCAGCTAAACAGCGAATTGGATATTAATGACCCGCCATAAAGTTTGGGGCTAATATCAATCAGAATAAAACCAAAGAAAAAATTGCTGGGTACATAAAAATCGCATAACTTTTTATTGCGGCAAGACAAGAAATCAAGAGCTGATAATGCGGCCCAAATATGGTCACATGTTTATGTTCTAGGCTAGGCCACAGCCTGTCGTGATGGTGCGTATCCAATCGTTGTAGAAGGCCACACGACTGTAGACATCCGGATAGCCACGGGCGCATGGCACACCCCAGTTGCCGATGCCCACCAGCTGTTGCCGGGAATTGATAAGTGGTCCGCCGGCGTCGCCATGGCAGGCGCCCTTTCCCGCGTCCATTTGGACGCAGACATGACCCAGGTCCACATCGTCAGTGTTGTCCAGCACGGTGCGGCACTCGTCGACGGGTAGATAAGTGCCCTGTGATTGCTGCAAATACTGGGAACTGCTGCCACTTGGTTCATCTGTGCCCCAGCCCGCAAAGCTCAGCGGCTCGCCCTGCTCTAGTTCATCCAGCTCCGCGAGCTCTATCTTGGCCGTAACGTCATTGTACTCAATGGCGCCGCTCAAATGCAGCAACGCAATATCGTTGTGATACAGCGGCTTATCAAAGTTGCAATGCACATGAACCTGATCCACATAGTAGCCCGGTGCGGTGGTATTCCAGGTGGCCAAGGTGCCGGCTACGGCCACTAAATTGCGTGGACGCAAACCGGACACACAGCTGGCGGCGGTCAAGATCCACAGATCATCGATGATGACGCCACTGCAAAAGGGATACCCAAATTGATTCTGTATGTTAACAATCCAGGGCCAATCGCCCTGCTCCGCCAGCTGGCCACCCGCAATGCGGCCCTGTGCTAGCCTCGGATTCGGATGCAGGCGCTCGGCTGCTTCACCCGGCAGCAGCTGTTCCCCGCGCAAGCGCAGGGCATCAATGGCGAGGGGTTGCAGAAGCTGAAGCAGCAGCAGGGGCAGCATCAGCTGGCAGAGGCAGAGCTGCAACGCTGATCTGGAAACTGATGCCATTGTTGTAAGTCTTGAATTGAAACTGAAATTCATTCACGATTTGCTCCGGAATTACACATCGGACATGTCTTATCGGCTGTGCTTATGGCCTTTAACTATGGCGGCACGATAAGTTTTGGCCACTCATAACGCCTGGTGGAGGCGGGCATGATGTGCTTAAAAGTCTGCCACAGCCAGCCCCTATATAGTTGGCCGGTTTATAGTCCCTCCAATCGAGCGCATTTACCGTGTGGGTTTTATCCTGCACATCGTAAAGATATGCAACTGATATGGGCTTTATTTACATTCATAAAGATTTGACCATTTGCTTCGTTAAAAACAGCGCGCGATAGCCGCTGTCCAAATCTTTCCAGGTGCGATAAAAGGTTTAGTACACTCGCAGAAAAAGTTGAAGAAAAGTTAACTTAAGTATAAGAGTTATCCAACTACGATCTGGTCAACATTTCTTAAGCTGAGTACAAAGTTCTTTATTTATGTTTATATTATTTTGTAACTTATATTTCTTATTTATTATCAATCAGGTGGAGTTATTATTAAGATTTACGTTCTCGTAAAAAGCCTCGTATTCCAAATCTTCTGATGAATAATTTTTTGTCGGAAAAGAACAGCTGAACCTAAAGAAGAACGGCGCAATTTTATTAAAAAAACCAAAATACAAAAAATTCAATAAAACATTCATAAATAACAAAACGATTTATAATTCATTCATGTTAATGAAATCAAATCAGAATCTTTGAAATCAGATAAAAATAATAAGTTAAGACTCGCACCGCACTTTATTCTCCCCTCAGTCCAACACTATGAATGCGTAATGCATTCTTAATTAACTTCGGTGTATATTGTCCGATCTTTGTAAAACTCTTCAAATGAGTGTATATACCAAAGAGGACGGTTCTACCTTCAAAATTTGATGGGGATATCGGAAGATATCCAAAAAGTGAAATAATCTTATACTAAACGAAAATCTAGTTGTTTGCATTCAGCTATTAATATCGTAGAGTTATGCTTGGAAAAACACAAACCCAAAAAAATTTGCTGTCTAGTCTAGTCATGTTCGTATTGCGAACACCGTTTTTCTCCGAGTGTAGCGCATGCATATAAAAGCTTCGACTGGGGACATTCCATTTTTCATTACTGGTCATTAATTGCAGTTCTCACACGTACTCACCTCCTCATGTCTGCATTGATCTGGTCGTGGCTCTGGTGCCTGTGTCTATTGCTGGGCAGTTCCATTGACGTCACGCGGGCCAAGCGTATCCATCATAAATATCAGACGCACAGCAATCGAATTGTTGGCGGCCAGGAGGCGGCGGAGGGTGCGGCACCTTATCAGGTCTCGATACAAACGAGTTGGCAAACAAATATCTGCGGTGGAGTCATCATCGATGAGCGCTGGATCCTGACCGCCGGCCATTGTGCCCTCGATTTTGCCATTCAGGAGCTGCGCATTGTAGTGGGCACAAATGATAGACTTGCTCCGGGACAGATGCTCTATGTGGACGAGGCCATTGTGCACAGCATGTACGATATACCGGCCGTCTATGCCAATGACATTGGTCTGCTCCATCTGAACGAGTCGATTGTGTGGAACGAGCGCACCCAAGCTGTCGCACTGAGTGCACAACAGCCACCAGCTGGTGCCACGGTCATCCTGACCGGCTGGGGTGCACCCGAGCTCAACTGGCCGGCCGAGCAGCTGTTGCGGACGATCAATCTGACGATCATCGATCGTGCCGAGTGTAGGGCCGCCTGGGATTACACCGATGGCGTCGACATTGGACACCTTTGCACCTACACGCGGGAGGGCGAGGGCGCCTGCAACGGCGACTCGGGTGGCCCGCTCATGTGGCTGGGCAAGCTGGTGGGCGTGGTCAATTGGGGTGCACCCTGTGCCGTTGGCAAGCCGGATATGCATGCGAATACCATCTACTATGCGGACTGGATACGACGCACCATCGCCGGTTGCAAGCAGCGCGTAAATTGATTTATTTATTTATTTATGTGGATCTATATAATTAATTGCACGATCATTGTTACAATTGAAGCTCGGACAGTTTAAAGTCCTGTCAGCTAATGGACATTCAATTCTTTTATGGTTTTGTTTTTATCGGAAAATTTGGTGCTTTAATTGAGTATTATTCAGAGGTTAATAAAAGTTATTGCGCTCGACGTATTACAGGGTATGAACATGGTTTATGTTGACTTTGTTTTTTGATTTGATCATTAATGTACTTCCGGGTTACAACATAAATAGACAATCTGTGTTCTTAATATTAATTGTTTTTTAATTCATTTAGTTATAGTAAAAGATTTTAGATAATTTAAAAAAAGTAAAAAATATACATATATTTATATCCGTTTGTATGCTAGGACTAGAAGTTTGAAATTTTTGCAAAAGCTTCCTATTAGGTCAAAAAATCCATCTGCAAGTTGGGTAATAAGAGGGACAAAGTTTGTGTATATTAAATTATTATATTGAAACGCGGCCATATAAGACAGGGACCTACATGGATAAGGTGTCTTAGCGTCGGACTAACAAGCGGAAAGTCGCTGGTTCCGATCGTGCGACAATATTTAATTTATTTATTTAATTTACTTATATTCAATGAAGATGAATGATTGAAAAAATAAATATAAATGTAAAATTTGAATGGAAAATGTTAAAACAATAATATAATATAATAATATAATATAATATAATATATAAATATAATATAATATAATAATTATACAAGTGTATGCTCTGGCGGGCCCTAACTAAACAAATGACGATATTAATTTCTGGGAAAATATATAGGGGCCTTGCACGTGTACATTAATTCTGGAGATATCCAAAGTTTACAAAATTTGACGTGGTTGCAAATTTTTCTAAAATAATAATTTCGTACCATCACATTCGAAGGATTTTTTTTCAGACTAACTGGAGATTCGTACTCTTATCCCCGTTGCACATTTGACTGACTTGGACAGATTCTTCATTGAAAATGACTGTAAAGAATACAATGGCTAAACTAATGCTGACAAAACTGAACAACTATGAGTCGGTTTTAAATTCCAGGCTAGTGTATAGATTCCGAATTAAATAAGCGCCCTGTCCCAAGCTTTGAATTGAAATTCCTGTGAGATTTCCGTCCTCCGCCCTATCCTTGGTTTCAGCAAAGATATATTTTAGCACCGAACCAAATCTTAATAACACTTAACGCCGACAAGCCCAAAAGTATGCTAAAAAGATTTTTCGATACTATTTGCAGAATGCATCTGCAGTTTTCTTAAATTTACCAAAACGGCAAATAGTTATAGCTTTATCCCGGGGTTTCACTGGGTATCTGCGTTTCTTGCAGCTGTTCCTTTTCGTAGAGTTCTTTTAGTTGACGAGTCATCAACACAGTGTCCGACTGCGATATTAATTACCTTCCACAAAATCGTAATCAGAACGCGTCTATATCATTTTATGGGCCAGATATCAACATGTGGACAACATCCAATCCGATTTATGATAAAACTGGGGCGATATGTCTTGATTTTTGCGAGTATAAAAGGAAAATCACAATCTGGAGGCGCGTTTAATACGCGTTCACAGATTGAGCCGTCAGAATGTTTAAATGTTGTGCAAGTGTTGCGGCAATCCTGTGCCTGGCCCTGTGCCTGCTCAGCCGGAGCGAACCGGCCAGTGGCAAGAGGCTGGGCAAGATGTCGGCCGAGCGGCTGGAGCAGTGGGCCCGCTCGGCCAAGGACATTGAGGGGCGCGTGGTGGCCGGCAGCGATGCTCAGCTGGGTCAAGCACCCTATCAAATCTCGCTGCAGGGCATGTACGGGGATCATATGTGCGGAGGAGCGATCATTGATGAGCGCCATGTGCTGACCGCAGCCCATTGTGTCTATGGCTATAATCCGACCTATTTGCGCGTCGCGACGGGCACCGTGCTCTGGCAGCAACCAGATGCCAAATACTTTGTCGAGGAATATTGGGTGCACTGCAATTATAATTTTCCCGAGTATCACAATGATATTGCTCTGATGCGTCTCAACGATTCGATCGTGTGGAACGAATACACAAAGCCGGCAAACCTGCCTGATGGACTGCCCGCGAACGGTTCGCAGCTGCTGCTGACCGGCTGGGGCTCGACGGTCTTGTGGGGCGATACGCCCGATGTGCTGCAACAGGCGACACTGACGTATGTGGACCACGACAGCTGCCAAGAGATTATGGGCGGCGATCCGAACAATGGGCCCTGCCACATATGCACATTAACGGACCAGGGTCAGGGCGCTTGCCATGGCGACTCGGGTGGTCCGCTGGCCTGGGATGGCATACTGTATGGCCTAGTCAATTGGGGCCATCCCTGTGCCCTTGGCTATCCGGACAGCTATGCCTCGGTGCATTATCATCGCGATTGGATCAGGCGCACCCAGTCGGAATCCTCCTGCAAGGCGTGTCACTGCTATGCCAGCAACTATGGCGTGTGATTGAAATAAAAAAGGAAACACAATTTCCATATAAAATACAAGTTTATTTAAATCTTTATTTCATGAGCTGTTCAGGTGCTGCACTTGGCATTGCCGCTGATGACGTTCCTGATCCAGTCCAGATAGTAGTACACATTGGCCTGCACATCCGGAAATCCCTTGGCACAGGGTCGGCCCCAATTTACTAGACCAACTAGATGACCATCGCTCACCAGCGGTCCACCCGAATCGCCATGACAGGCACCCTCACCTTCCTTGCTGAATGTGCAAATGTGTCCCACGCCCATGTTGCTGGTCTGATTGAATATATCCAGGCATTCATCCAGTTTGACAAAGCCCAAGCTCAGCTTTTGCAGATTCTCATTTGCTTGGCCATTGGCGACCTCAGCGCCCCAGCCGGTGAGCACAATCTCCGCGCCCTCACGCACCGGACCCACGGGCAGCTCTATGGGCTGCGTGAACTCATTGAAGGTTATGTTTTCGCTGAGCTTCAGCAGGGCTATGTCATTATGCATATAGGGCTTATCGTACATGCAGTGCACATACTTCTCCGCAGTATAGTGGATGGCGCCGGGTTCCGCATAGCGGTTGGTGCCCATGACCACCACAATAAACTCGATTGGAAAATCGACCACACAGTGACCCGCCGTGATGACCCACTGCTCATTCAGTATGGCACCGCCACAGTTGTGATAGCCGAGGGCGACCTGCAGCGACACCTGATACTTGGCAAATCCAATCTCTGCCGTCTGACCGCCCACAATGCGACCCTTGCCGGAGAGCTGGCCAGCGTTGGCAGCATCCAAGTCCAGTAAACGCTTGGCCACAGTTAGCTGCTGCAGCAGTAAAATTATTAGGCAAAAGTGGAGCAACTTCATCTTTTCCGTCCAAGAAACTAACGCAAACTAAGCACTGTATTATTTGCTAGGAGTTTTATCGGAGGTCTTTTAACCGACTTTTATCAGGCAGATTTTATGAACGCATTGGACAGTTTATGATTGCAATAGAGCCATAGCCCAGTCTAGCGATAGCCGGGTTATTTGGTATTCGTATTACCTTTAAGTGACATTAGGTATTTGGGTTTTTACCTAGCCCGGGGCAGTCCTTATAAACCCATTCGCTTGCCTTATCAGCAGGCCGCTTGGTTTGATGTGAATAGGAAACTAGATTTATTATGACTATTATATTATTTGTACGCCTGGCAAAGGTTTTTGACCAAACCTGTTCAAATCCAGTATTAACAATTGCTCAAGAAACAGCCGAAGCGAAGCCCAAGGCGAATCATAGTTTTTCTCGAGAAAGTACGGATATCATGCGCACGCCGAAGATTCAATACCCTTATAGACGTTTGCCTAATGGTTTTGCAGATACATATGTGAAAATAACAAAGCTCGTAAATGCGAAGTTTTATGAGAATATTACAAAAACAGAGTATTTTGCCCACTACAAATTCAATTTTGAACCAGTTCTTCCCATAGAGCAATAGAATGTAAATATGCGATCTTGATAGGATTTCGCCTATATATGAGGAGTATACTGGCAAACAAAAAAGTTGTCCATACAAAAAACTACTTTTAGACCGGTTCGATTCGACATATGTATTTATTGCATCAGAAAGATCCACCAATGCAAAGTTTCTAGACGTTAGCTTTAAAGCTGAGAAACTAGAAACCAATGGACAGACGGACATGGCTATTCAACTCAAGAATAAATATACTTTATGGGGTCGGAGATGTCTCTCACAATTCTCACATTTCATGACAAACTATAACTATATAATATATAATACGTGACAAGGGCCCAGCTCCGAAATATTGATGTTATCGTACCGGTAACATATCCGGTAGTTGCGAATTTTAAGTAAAGATAACTTTAAGCACTAAAGTGTACTTTGTTCATATCGGCCCACTATATCATAGTGCTTGTTTAGGTATATTGAGAATTGAGAATTGATTTTTGAAATTTATAATTATGGTTTTTCTAAAGATATCTCAACCAAAACCATCAACCGTGAGCTTTATTACGCTGCTAACATAAGAGCAGAAACCTTTCTACATTAGTCCAACTAAAGGATCTAAGGATCAAACGCCCGAATATTATTCCTGAATTTAGATAAATATAACGTGCATTTATGCAAGGGTATATAATGTTCGGCAGTGCATAAATAAATGTTAATTTTTGTTTCATATGCCCATATACAAATATGCATGTGATATATATAGAGATATATAGACAACATTTTTATCAATCTAGCAGTTAAAATTAGACTAGTTAGTTTTATTATTATAGGTATAGAAATTAGTAGTTATTAACTATCAACTTTTTGAATAGCACTGTCAACATTTGACTTTAGCCAAGACAAACAAATAAATGAATACAACCGCACTCAATGCAATAACAAATAATGCTTATTATAGTCACAGGATATAGGCGTTGGTAAAGACGGATGAATAGATCAATCGAAATCAATCTATTAGTATTCACTCCAAATCCCACTTAGTAAGTGGTCTACATCTAGACCAGGGTCCAGTTCGTGTGCAACAAGTTTTTATCATGCGATCTATTATTATCATGTTTTGTGATTGTTTTGACATTTAGCTCCAAATTTTATCGATTATTGCTTGACCATTTATCAAACTGATCGTAAAAAATCACTTATGATCAGATTGGCTCCAAAGTCGATATACCTTATCGTTAGGAGGAACATAACCAATTGTTGCCAATGCTGAGAGCTCAGTCTGCACTTGGATATCAAATATGACACGACACGGACGGTGCTTGTTGCCGCTGATATACCCGCTGCTCCTATTGCTCCTGCTGCTGCCACGCCCCGCCCACTCCATTGTGGGTGGTCAGAATGCAGGTGAGGGCGATGCACCCTATCAGATCTCACTGCAAACTCTGGCGGGCAGCCATCTGTGCGGTGGGGCCATCCTATCAGCAAGCTGGACCCTCACTGCGGGGCACTGTGTGAGCGGTTGGCCAGCGGATCGCCTACGCGTGGCTGTGGGCACCATACGCTATACTCAACCAGGTGCTCTCCACTATCCCTCGGCTATCTATGTGCACTGCAACTACGACCAGCCAAAATACCATAATGATATTGCCTTGCTCCAGCTGAACGAGAGCATTCGCTATGATGCACTCACGCAGCCCGTGGCGTTGGCGCATGCATCCTGGCCTGTGGGCACCGCGGAGCTGCTCTTCACTGGCTGGGGGACACAGTCGGCGGCCGGTGCCACGCCCACGCTGCTGCAAATGGTGCAACAGCAGCACATCACGCGGCAGGAATGCGAGACGCGACTCGCTGCCTACGAGGATCTTCAGCTGGGGGTGTGTCATGTGTGCGCTTTTCGAGCGCAAAACATAGGCGCCTGCCATGGCGACACTGGCGGTCCGCTGGTCCACAATGGCCAACTAATTGGCATACTCAACTTTATGGTGCCCTGTGCACAGGGTGTACCCGACGTATTTATGGATGCGCGTTACTACAGAGAGTGGATGCGGCGGGTTATGAGCGGCAATGGCAAATGTGCGGGTGTGCAACAGCAGATAATTAATTAAACGTCTAACTAAGACCATGCTCAGTTACTATTAGTTTAAGTTATTGTCAGTAAACTTATGTGTGTGATATATTTAATTCCTGTATTTGATTTGATACGGATGGAATGGCTTGTTGCAAATGCATGTAGTAGATGCCTAGCAGAAGATAGGCTTTTCGATCCCATAAAGAATAAATAGGCTTAATCAGCAGGCGAGTCGAGCCTGTAGAGTCTGCACATCGCTCCCAGTCGATTAAATGGACTCTGAGACATAACATCTGGAGCTCAGATCCTGTCTCACAAAGATCGATTTTAATCCCACTCATTGATAACTCCTCATGACCATATCTCGCTTTATCCAGAAGAGTAATCCTTTTTTTGTACATCTCTCTACATCTTCCTGCTAAAACAAACGAAACGGAGAGAGGCGCAAGTTTTTGTTCGCGGAACCGTGCAAGACTCTAGTGCAAATCCTCTGTGTTTCCTGCTACTTATTGATAGTTGCGCGGAATTACAGCCAAATTAAACGACCTTTAGGTTGCACGCGAAAACTTATTTTTAAAAAGCCGGAGGCTTGCAAAGCGACATTTCGCCTACTTACTCCATCCCCCACCCACCGCTCACCGACAAATCACAGCCCACAAACTGAAGACAAACACCGGGGCATTTTAAATTTAATTAATCAAAGCAACCTAGCTAGATTGCAACAAAACCTAAATCTTGTGATGATATCTCTTATTGGAAATCTTCCGCTGATTCGGAACTTTTCAATTATGAAGGATCTGCGCCTCGGCCCTTTTATCGAAACAGTCAACCGTTTTGCAACTAAACTTAAGGATCTGTTGTTCTGCTAGTTCCATTTCTTATCTAACTGGCAGACAGCTCAAGTTGAAGGCTAGAATCAAAATGAACGCTGAGGCGTTGCCTGCTTTCGAATTTGAATTGAATATTGAATTTAGCAAAGAAATGTCTATTACTTTAGAACTGTCCGTCGCGTATCTCCTAGTTAAGAACTCTTCACAAATTGATTAGATTTTTTCCGCATAGTTTAAAACATAAATAACTTATTTTATATAGACAGATATTTTGTGAAGCTCTCAAAATTATTTAAAATTATGCCGTCAGTTAATGATTCAGTTAAGTTTTTCCCGCTTATCAAATGCCAATTATATATTTCTGTGAAGCAAAAATAAAAAGTTCCAATACTGATAAGCTGACATAAAAATATGACAAATTTTGTTTGCAAAATATTTGTTTGTTCGCAATGTTGGATTTAGTCACGCCTCTTATCAACATTTTTTAGAACTTAACTTTTTGCTGATAAATGCAGACAACGAATACTCTAGACGACAGTGGTTGACTACCAAATACCCTGTTAAAACCTTTGGAACGAAAGAATATAATTATAATATAAAGTATTATTGTTTTGATTTTTGTTTTTCGATATGTTTTGTTATAGAAAGACACGAGCAGATCTATGCATTCTTATGGATAGATTCGGTAAAGTTCAAGAGTAGATTCTGACGCCTACTTCCAACTGTAGCACACGCTATTAAAAGTATAATTAACCCTGCTAAATCCATTCACTAGATATAGGGTATACTGGGTGTGTCATTAAGACTTTGGGCTAAAAGGCGCAAGCAACTCAGTTGATCAGAAATTGCCACGGCGAAAACATTAGTTTAGTAAAGTTCCGAAATTCCAGTGAAGTAATAATTACATTATTCAAAAATCCTGGCTGACAAACTCCAGCGAAAGACCTTTTATTCACATCAAGAACAGCACTCCAATCAGATATGCAGGCCGAACATAATCTTGACGAGCACGCCCAATGGAAGCAAATCCAACAAAACACCTTCACACGCTGGACCAATGAGCATCTGAAGAGCATCGGTAGTTCCATAGATAATTTGGAAACGGATCTATCCGATGGCGTGCGCCTGATTGGCCTCATCGAGGTGCTGTCGCAGAAGCAACTGCCTCCGCACAATAAACGCACCACATTCCGTAGCCAGAAATTGGAGAACGTATCGATTGCCCTGCAATTTCTGCAGGATGAGGGCATTAAAATTGTTAACATCGGTAACTTATCCATGACTAGACTTCAGTCCGGTTCCAGTTCCACAACAATCCAATTTCCATTCACAGACTCTTCGGATATAGTCGACGGCAAGCTGAAGCTAATATTGGGCCTCATATGGACGCTCATTCTACACTACTCGATATCGATGCCCGTATGGGAGGGCGATGAGGAGAAACCATCGACGGAAACGGGTCAAACGCCCAAGCAACGGTAGGTTAAGGACTTTCTGAAATACTGCCGCTTGATAGCTAAATGCCTTTCCTTTGCTGCTGCAGCCTGCTGGCTTGGATACAAATCAAGATACCCGGCATGTCTATCAATAATTTCACCAAAGACTGGACCACGGGCAAGCCGGTGGGCGCTTTGGTGGATGCCTGCGCCCCTGGCCTGTGCCCCGACTGGGAGCTCTGGGATCCCGATAATTCCGTGCAGAATGCCACTGAGGCAATGCAACTGGCTGACGATTGGCTGGATGTCCGCCAGCTGATCAAGCCGGAGGAGCTAGTTGATCCCAATGTAGATGAGCAATCCGTTATGACATACTTGGCCCAATATCCAAATTGCAAGCTGAAGGACGGCGCCCCATTGCGGCCCAAATCGGATCCCAATAAGTGAGTGTTAACTTTAATATTAATATCTATGGACTGTAAAAGTAAGCCAATTATTCGATTTTCTTATATGAAATCCTAAGAGTATGCAATTTTGTAACCAAAATTATTTTAATTTTGAAGTCTACTTTTAACTGTCTAAGTTAGATTATTTGACGTTGATCCATGATAACACGAGGTTTATGGACATTCCACCCGCAAGTGTGGAAAAATCGCGAAAAACGATTGAATGAAACTTTTCTGTTTACCATCCGATCGGCATCAAGCCCATTTTCAAAGATCTTTGTTAAAATTCATTTGAGAGGTTTTTCACACTTTTCCACTTCCTTGGTGGAAGAGGGGGTCAAAGATTTGGAGGATGACGTTTCGAGCTCAAATTCATTCATTTTTAAAGCTTTTTGAGAACATTGATTTTATAAGTTATTGTTACAGAATATAATAAATGTATTTGTTTATGTTTATTAGCATTCCTATCGTTGTACCCGTGACACCTGTGATTGATCCTGAACCCGTTATCCCGGTAGTGGAGTCTCCCGTCCTTGAAACTGTGCCTGCTGAGGTTTATCCTGGCATTGAATCTGTTCCCGCCGAGGTTTATCCTGGTATTGAATCTGTACCCGCTGAGGTTTATCCTGGCATTGAATCTGTTCCCGCTGAGGTTCATCCTGGCAGTGAATTAGAGCCTCCCCAGTTTTATCCGAGCATTAGACCCAGTGCTCCTATGGTTGGTGAATCTGCCATAGTAACTGTTGATACGTTTGCCATCCCAGAGGGTAAGCTCGACAAATGAAAATATTAAAGCCAAATCTTTTGATATATCTCTTTTATCAATATAGCAAATTATGTCACGGAAATCGGAAAGCTTTACGAGGGTGTTAGTTATTTGTTTACTGGTCAAATTTTACCGGAGGCACAAGGGTAAACTTACATTCGTTATTTATCGACTTAATTTTAACAAGGGGCTCATAAACAGATTCGCCATAAACTTCGTATATGACAATCAGACTCGTGATGTGGCTCTGCATATCAATCCACGATTCGGCAAACAATATGTGGTGCGGAACACCAGAATACGTGGCACATGGGGCCGTGAGGAAATCCACTCCGTGATACCTTTTCCTTTGCGGCAGGGCGAAAGGTTCGCTGTTCAAGTGCTCGTCACTCAGAACTGTTACTTGATATCGTTTAATGGCCATCACGTGGATCATTTCATTCATCGTCATCCTTACGACACAGTTCGTTTCCTTGACGTCGAAGGCGACGTGGAGGATGTGCTCATACACCGTTCCGAGGTTCGAGGCTATCCACATCGTTTTCTTGAATTGGCGGTAAGAAATATATTTGAAATCATGTTATTATTGAAGAAACAACAGCTTCAATTCACATTATCTAAAGTTACAGTTAGAAGGTTGTTGGTTACAATTTTAAAGTCACTTCAGGAAGGTTATTTTCCACCTATTTTCAGCTGTAATTACCGTACTATTAAGAAGAATGCTGACGAACTTCCTTCATTCTTATCACAAGTCACATTAATGTACACTTCCATTTATCACGGTTCGTAAGTCACAGTTTAAAAGTCACTGGTTTAATTTGCAGTAGTATAGTATAGTAGTTCAGTTGCAACGCCTTTTTTTCACCCATTTTTCAACTGTAATTACAGAACTGAGTAGATTTCTGACGAATTCCCTTCCACGTTATCTAGCGACCCGACAAATCGCAAAAATTCACTTTACCTAAAGTTACAGTTTAAAAGCCGGTGGTTACAATTTTAAAGCCACTTCCTGCAGGTTATTTCCCACCTGTCTTCTGTTTTAATTACAAAGCTAGAAAGTTGATCGCTGACTCCCTTATAGATTATCACAAATCAAGTCAACCTTCATTTCCGTGAGCCACGGTTATAACGTTACCGTTTAAAGACAACTGGCTACAGTTTTAGAGGCACAACCCCCTACTTAGCCCATTTTCAGCTAAATTTATCGTAGTTCCAATTGAATCTTTATTCCACTTAAGCCTCCACCACACGTACAGTATGATATACAGCCCATGATTTACTTTGCCGATGATGTGGCTGAAGTGGGACCACTGTGCGAGGCAGATAGTTTTCTCTTCAGCGGCAGGATCGATGCCAAAAGCCAGGAGTAAGTGAAACAAGCCCACAGAGTTAAATATTGTCTTTATACTAAAAAATCTGCACATTCACAGACTCGAGATTAGCTTCCTATATGCGAATGAAACAAGGGATGTTCCGCTGCACATCAAGTTCCAATTTAAAAAAAATCATCTAATACGTAATAGCAGAGCACGTAAATCGTGGAACCGAGAAGAGATTTCCAGCCCAATACCCGTGCGCCGAGGCGAAAGATTTGCCGTTCAAGTGCTTGTGACAAGCGACTGTTATCTGATAGCGATAAATGGCCAACACTATGCCCAGTATGTCCATCGCATGCCCTTCGATGCGGTTGCCGTCATCGAGGTCAAGGGAGGTGTGCAGGATGTGCAGATGCATCGCAATACGGTGCGGGACTATCCACAGGGCACACTTCAAAGGCAAATCTTGTGAACATATTAGTTTATAGTAGACGCCATAGTCTCACTGTTTAAATTTAATAGGTGGATTTATTAAAATACAATTTATATCTAATTGTAAAAAGTATGAAAATTGAGAATATTTATAAAGATTTTAAAGTAAACCTTTAAAGCATTTTACTAACAGATAACCTGAGCATAAGCGGAATATGACCTGGGATGAAGTATTTTAGAATGCCAACACAATTTGTTAATATAAAACTTATAATCAAAGCATGACAGCCTGTAAGCCTCACTTGATTTTATGAGAATCTCAGTGAAGGGCTACACAAAAAACTATAGTTTAATAAATATGCTGCGCAGTGAGAATTATTATTATTCGAAGATCCTTAGCGATCCCGAATGTGACTCGGCTTGCTTTTCGCTTGGCCAATGCCCAAAGCAATTGATAAAGCGGCAGAAGAGCGCTGTGAGTCAGCGGACAAATGTTGTTGGCATTTTGATTTACGTGTATGTCAGTGTCAAATTTGGCTGTCTCTTTTCTTTTGGTCTGACCACACGTGTCGCAGAATGCTCTAATTAAAGGCAGGTAGACCTAAAGGCCCCAACTCTTAGTCATGTTCGAAAGACTGAAATGTCTCGGGGCTGGCTGTCAAGAATTTTAACTCAAAAACATATTTGTTGCGGGCGACAGCCGCATGGAAATACTGAAAAGAATAATATATGGAGATGAATATATATGTGTATACAATTTTCGAACGAATAATTCTTGTTGCTCTCAATTCTCAGCTATGGTATGGTAATAGCTGGGCATTTTCGAAAAACCAAAATTCAGTTGCTGCATTGACTTCGAAGTGTGCGTGTCGTAGGGAATACGCGGCGTATACGCAATATACCGATTTGAGTGCCAAAACAAAACGTTAAATAGATACAAAAATATATATAGATATATATCTATGTGAATGTAGGCGCGTGTGCTGTACATATAGCGCCACATAATTATTCAATTAGTGCATAACGCAACGAGATCGAGAAAAATGTCAGAGTATGTGCACTACTGAAGGCAAACATCTATAGTATCCAGCTATAACAGATGCGATGAATAATCCCTATATATATAATGTATATGCGTGAACAATATTGGTGTGCAAGCTAATGAAAATATAGCCAAGAGTTTGCACACAACGTTTTTGAGAATTTTTGCCATATTTTGTGATCTATTTTCTTGACAGTCGCCTTCCGACTTCTCGCTGGAGTCCCTTTTAGTCGGGGCCCCAGAAATTTTGGGCTTACGAGTAGTTGAGAGTACTTTATTTAGCAACTGTTGCACGCCTCGACACACCTGAGTGCCACATTGTTAGGAAATTTATGTACTTCAAAGCAAACAAAAAAATTATATTAAAGGAAAAAAAGCTGTTCGCATTCTTTTTGTACTCTGAGTATTTGAAATATTGCGAACGTTTCGCAATTGTGTTTGGCTATAAAATAGGCTTTATTTTTGGATATGTCGAAAACGTAGCAAGAGGAAGAAAGAGAGAGAGAGTGAGTGGTAGGGGATAGAGAGCGTGCCAGAGCAGGGGGCACTTGAAGCCAATTGCTTGCACGTGAATATTTATTGGACGCCAACGCGGCGTATGCGCAACATCAAATGATAAACACCTGCTGGCAGGCCACAAAAATGTTGTCTAGAAAATTGTTACTAATATAAAATACATTTTTTTTTTTAAAGCGACCAAATCAGCAAACTTTAGGGCAACAAGAATGCCTAATACTATGATGATTAGGAAACTTAGAAATTGTTTTAGCCTAATTTATGATCGTTTTTTCTTTTTAATTATTTTCAAAATGCAGTTTTTTTTTAATTTAAATTTGTATTTTAAAACTGTGCGTAATTTTTCTAGCTTTGGTCTTTTTTTTTTTGCTTTGGTTGACTTTTGATATTTATATATATTTTTTTTTCACTAGAAGCGCGGTCTTTTTTATCTGCGATTTAGTATAAATAAAATAAATTTGCGCAGATTTGCAAAGTTGTTGAACCCCCAACGAAATAAAATCAAAGAGTTTATGTCTGCGATTTGGCCAAAGAATTAGTCATGTGTTAAGACAAAACATGCCGCAGAAACATGCAAAAAATGTATTTCATATTTTTATGAAGGCTGCCCAACTATTTTGTATAGAGCTCGACTAGGAGATACCCTGCGCAAAGTGCCGAGCTGGGTTTCGAAAAATTCTGCTTTCTTTCTATATATTCATGCATTCTTTATTTTTCTTGGTTGATTAAAACATAAAATTCTTCTTATATTATTTAATATTGATGCGTTATATTAAATATAACTAAAATATATTTTATTAATTGACTTTGGTGCTCAAAGTCCGATCTATATGAAAGTTACAATGCTTAAACATGGCAAACAAAAGGGTCTTAATACTAAAGCAGAAGAATTAGTTAATTCAATTTTTGGTGTGAATATTCTTTACCGGTGTATATATACGAGATTCTACATACCAAGTTTTGTGCTTCCAGTTATTAAAATTTTTATCTATGCTTGAAATGGAAGATGTCGGAGAATAAAAATCTCGTTTTACGCTTAGTGTAGCAGAACATTAATACATATTACATTTTAAGTACCTAGTTTTTGAAGTTTTTGAGATGCATGCGTTTATACATTAGGCCAGATCTACTCTGCTTTGATGCTGCTTTAAAATGCTACTATACCCCATGTCCAAGCAGTCTAGGGTGTAAATACAATATATTTCTATGTGAATTTCAAGTGCAAATTATGCTGTTGATGAGTCAGTCATGGCCTGGGGGAGGGGCACGCCTGGTAAGGGGCTGCATTGCAAATGACAATACGCCTGCAATTGGCAACAAATCAAGCATGCCTTAAAACAACAACAACAACAGCAACAGCAATAACAAAAAAAAAAGAATATATGTTCTATTTATAAAAGAACAACAGAATCAGCTGCGCGCAAAAATCATCAGAGGGATTGGAAGAGCGGGTCGGAGAAAAATCGCCAAAAGCTGCCGCTGCCAAATCGCTGCGAACAGAGTCAAGAGTGCAGTCGACGTCGACGCCGACGTCGAAGTGAGCGTCAACCGCAACGTCGCCAACGTACGAATGCAAACAGCAAAACACACAACAAAAAACATGCAGCAAAATAAATATTGAGGAAATTATGTATTGATGATCAGCACAGCGATCGTTAGTTGAATAGAAGCGCATACTGTTTAATATTGTAGCATAAATGTATTTCAAACAGAAAAACTGTGGGAATATTCTGCCGATAATATGTATTTAAAGCTGAATATATGCGCATATCAATTAATTCTTGACACATGCTTCACATGAATATGTGACTTATAATAGAATTTAGTGATTACTTATTGATTATATACATTTTTCTATTTTTAAACGCATTGTACATGTGCATTTGGATTATATGAAGAGCATTAATAATGTGAAGTTGGCTGCGCTTCACCATTTCATAAAATGACTTTCCTTTAGACTCATAATTTGAAACTTATGATAGGGCCGTCGGTATGAACAATTTTCATAAATTTTACCTTGCAATTTTGTATAACATATTAACACAATTATGGGTAGATTCAGCAACAGCAGACTACAGATCCACACCCAGTTTCACCCACACCAAATTTACAGTTTGAAAGCGACTGTTTAAGACTCACCAAACAATATTCTACCATAAGCCGCCTTTGACTGTTGCTATGCATATGGCCACTGCTGTAGAATTCTGAAAAATAATAAAGAAATTGAACAAAAAAGAAGAGCTGCGCGCGTTTGGCTGCATAAAAACATTGAGCAAGGAGGCGAACAGAACTCAGTCGAGCTGAGAAATTGCGACGAGCAGAACATTTAAGATTACAACAACGACAACAACAACAACAACGACAACGAGTAGTTCCCCAAGTCCCAAAGTCAAGTTCTCAAGTGGACATAACGTCCGAACAAATCAAACGGAACAGAACAGCAGCAACGCGCGCAGCTCGTAAAATATCAAAAATATTTTGTTCAAAATTTTCGAAAATTAAATATTTCAAATTGAAAAACTGCAAGACTTGAGTGTGTGTAAAAAGAAAAAAACGTGCTCTTGCCGCAGACTGAGGCATTGTGTAATTTAATTGGGTGATTAGCGACCAGTATTATATATATATATATATATATATATATTCGAAGAAAAGAGTATTAGCAAACATTCGACAGGCACAAATCGTCAAAATGGCAGCACGCAAAGTGAGTTTATTTATTTTTTTGGCACCAAAATTGAGTCCAACTATATCACCTGCCTCACCTGGCACCCTCACCACATATATGCACAATTTCGCACACTATTTTTCCATTGCAATGCATTTGGCCAGTGTTGATCAAGTTGTTTAAATGACGGCAAAATGGAGGACATGTGGTTTGCATTACCTTTTCATAAAACCAAGAAATATTTGTCAATTTATTTTTAGAGAATTTACAACAATTTTCCTGGCTATTGCTGTGTGCGTGTGTGTGTGTGTGTTTTAGTTGCATATAAATTAAAATTAATTAAAATGGAAGTGAAAATTTATTTAGCATTTCGTTGGCTGCGCTGGCTGATTCATGCCCCAAGGCAAACGAGGCAAGTGGCGCCTCACGTTTTGTTTTGCGACTTGGCAACGTTTTTGGTGCGACGCGTTTTATTTCCATATTGGGCCAAGTTGTTAGCCCGCGTTGAGGTCAGTTGCGGCGGCTGCTTTAAATGGGCAGACAGTTCCCTTGTGGCATGCCACGAAGGATTTCAACAGTCCCATTAAGCAGATCAGCTGTTCAATCGATCAGCATTCAAAATTGGCTACGATTTTTATACCCAGATAGAGGGTGTTATACATTTGCCAAGAAGTGGGAACATCTATGAATCCCTTGAATGCACACAAAATCTTAATCAGTATCAAAGCCAGGTCGATACAACCATGTTCGCCATGTCTAGCTATATGTTCCTCTGCAAACAAGTTCCTCAGTCTTAAGGCTATAGTCATGAGTATTTGAGAAAGTCTGTCTTTCTGTTCCAGCATAGATCGTAAAAGCTGCAATCCAACCACTTTATAGCTTGAAAAGCTTCTTGTTGAAAAACTTT